AAACACAACACTATGATGTTATCTGTGAGAGAGGATAGATTACATATTACAGAAACTTAAGAATGACCTTGGTCTCCCACACACACTGCTGTCATGTACGAGGTCATCCCACCAGGTCGTGCATGCATGAAGCAGGAGGGTCTATAACTTGCATCTGACTTCCAATTAATTACAAGACTAAGACAAACATTTCTTTGATATACTGCAGCCCAGAATAATTGATATGATGTGGCCCCAAACAGCGAGTTGAGGATTTGATTTTCAGTCTATTCAGCAATCAGCTAATGGTGGTGCAGTTTTAAAAAGAGATATTAGTCAGTGTGAGAATTCATATCAACTGTTGTGTTCATTTGGCTCAGGACAATCCAGTCAGCATTTACATATCATGGACATCATTTGGTTGAAGGACTCAGAGAGTTGACGTGCTGTTGCACTGCTCGCACCGTGCATTTCTACTGGAAATAAAATGTATTTCACGATAATAATAGTGAATCTGAAGCAGAAAGCAGCCCTTGGCCCTGTCTCTTAAAGGCATCTCAAGGTGAGTGTAAAAATCCATCTCTCCAACCTTCTGCTTAAAGCATTTATTAACAAGTGCCTCCTACAAACTCACTGAGGACTAAGAACATATAGGAGGAACTGAAAAATTCATTCTTCATTGAAGTTTTTACTATTTTACTTTATTTTTAATTCTATGCATTTCTCAGGACCACAGAGTCTCTCTGATGTTAGTGATGGTTCATGTGAAATTAGTGATGGTGTTTAAAATAAGATAAAAATACAACTAAAACGTGCCTAAGCTATTGATTTCTCTTTCTTTAAAAAGCCATGAACTGTTTACTGTAACTTACATTTTGTAGATATATTTTTGTTCTCTATGTTTTGTTTTTAGTATAAAGCATGACTTAAAGAAGTTACATATGTGTTACATGTTACTTAAAACTTAAGCATTTTTAAACCCAGGTTTTACGTCTAAGTGACTAATGGAGACAACAATTTTTGCAACTGGTTTAGTATTGAGCGAGACCACTGCAGCCACAGCAGCAAAACAGGTTGCAATGTAATCCCGACATGCAATTTTGCATCATCAATTTACACTCAATAAAAGTGCTTGTTTTGCCACTGACAGGCTCAGATTGTTATGAGAAGTGTCTGACAACATTACGGAAAAGACTCTGCAGAGAAACATTGTTCCTTAACTTTCTTTGGTCAGAAACCCCCCAGGGTGCAAAAGAGTGGGCCCAAAGCAAGATATAAAATATCCTTTTAACCTTTAAGCCATGCTAGGACTGGGGTGGAGGAGGCAAGGCTTTTTCAGCAGCAGCAGCAGCAGTGTGTGGCAGCATTAGTGTAGCAGGGATCAGTGAGTAGGAAACCATATTCAAATTGACCACCTTGTTTTGAGAATGGGCTGTGTTTGGTGTGTGACTGATTAGCTGCAATGATCCAATCAGCTGGCTGTCAGCTGGTTACAGCTGAGGCATATGACTTCCGAGTCCTGCATGAACTAACGCAAAGCATCATTTAATGTGTTATTTTTGCCTATTGTACTTGAATATTTCTGCATGCTGGGGGCCCGAAACAATCTCATTCAGTCCCAGGGCATTTGCTCGAGGTACAGATTGCGAATGCCAGTCTTGTTTCTCTCTTTTCTCTGGTCATGTAGCACCAGTGTCAAAAGTATGTGCATCTTTCTGCTGCATAGACAGCCCAGTTTTATGGAAAGACCATCCTTCCAGCAGTGAAGTACTTATTTAAAGAGTAAGTGCACCCTCAAATTCTGCTCAAACTGTCCCTTACAGCATATTTTGAAACTGCAAACCACCAGCCATGAGCAGATACAGTCAGGCCCTGGTTGTGCTGAAAAGAGCGGGAGTCCAGCGGTGCTTTTACAGTCACAAGGCGCACATACATATGCCCCTTTGAGAGAGTTACTGTGGGGAAGCTGTGGGCTGGTGCTTGTGAAGGCTCTTTGCCAGGCTGTCTAAGTAAACTTGGAGGTAAACACTGAAAAGTTGTAGAGTTGTTCAGAATCACAAGAATCTGTTGGAAATTAAGCAAACTCCATCTGCTTATGAGGACTGTGTGATATGATCAAAAGCTCCAGAACAAGTGAGTAAGTAGACCTTGAGTTGAGACTCATTTAACTACTGTTTCAAAGGCCAAGCCATGATGTATTTCTGTTAGATATTTCAGAGCATCCGGGGTATAACTGGGTAATTTTTTTCCATTTTTCCCCACACCACCGTATATCACCAACTTGACCGAATTAGAGTGTCTGTCTATTAATAAAACCCCTCTAGGTGCCTGTAAAGGTCATACAAGTCCTCTCACGAAATATATTTATTCAAAGACGAAGACAAGCACGTTTAGACTGCACCCAAATTGAAACCACTTGGAGCAATCCCCTTGAAATTACTGTGGCTTTCTGAAAGGTGCCACTAAGGCTGCTGTCATTGCTGTAATGGAGGTATTGTTATCTGCGAGTCAGGCGAGCAAGCAGAGGAGATGAATTTCGATCCTGGAATCTTGACTCAGATCAGAGGACACTCAAATTAAAAAGGACTCTTCAGGGCGCGAGGTCTCCAGCCTCGGTGGATTAGCTTCACACATGAAGCACATACAAGTAATTTACACTTAAATCTGGTGATGAAAGAGGCTATTTGCTTGTACGAAGCTATTTTCAAGGGTTTGTGTGTATCGACTTTGATTTGCATAAATTTCACAGAGAGTGAGATGACGGCGCTTTTACTGAACAACAAACATGTGCAAATTGTCCTTGCAGCACAAATATCCAGTGAGTGGTTAATGAAATAAAAGGAGGAGGTTTTAAGTGGACTGGAACAGCACGCAGGGCAATTTTACCAGCGCACATAGTTTAAAGGATAGTCCCTAAATAAAAACTGCCTGTAATTACAGTGAAATCTAATCATAGGTTACCTAATAGCTTCTGTCAGACCTGCTGTATACAACTCTTCCAATATTTTTCCAGGACTCTCTTTGATCATTATTAGAGGCTGACTGTAATTGCTGCTCAGTCAACTGTTAACATTCAATTACTGATAATGATTTTTATGGTTTCTCTCCCGATCGACGCTGATAGAGCATGCGCACACAAATGCACACGGACCATTCTTAGCTAAATACAATAGATACCAATCAGTTTCCAATAAAATACATGTATACTGCATCCCAGTAAAGAATGGACATTGTACAATGGAAGCCAATATGTTCTGTATTCACTGAATCACACAGCTCAACTCCCAGAGAGCCGTCAAGTGGATAGGCTCTTATATGGTTCAGGGTCAGTCTTTTGATCTTGAAGTGACTCTTCAACACGGCTTACTATTGACATTTCTCAGTGGTTCCCAGCGGATACTTAGATAGCAGAAACTATATCGACCTCTTCGTAAGACAGATAAAGGCAGGAGCAGGGTCACAGGGTTACCATATACGTGAATCCTGCTAAAAGCTGGAAGATTTTCTGATAGACACCTTAAAGAGTGATGTACAGAGTGAGAGTCTTGGTTTTGACAGGCACAGTTGAACTGTGTATATCATGGAGTCTGGTAAAGATTAAATATGAAGCTGTGTTTTAATGGTATCGTCCTTCCTGCAAGTGACAATGCTGTGTCACAAATGTGGCGTCTTAAAAGCCTTCCTAATACTATCAGATTATTGTATTGATCTGAAAATAAGCTTGGATGGTTTACAAAAGACTTTGGGCCCTGTTAAAACAATCTGTAGTGCGTCGTCTAAAGCCGTGGTTCCCATCTGGTTCAGCCACAGTGTCCAGATTTCTCCTTACTCATTAGTTCAAGGTCCACAAAGTTTAAGATATTCAGCATCATACTTTCATTTGGCCATGTTGTAGAGCTAGTTTGCTGTCTCTGTTAAAGGGAAATTTTGGTTTATTTCAACCTGTCTCCTATCGTCCTAAATTTGTTTCAAGTGACTAGTGACATAAAAATAATAGTTAGCATGTTAGCTGTTAGCCTAGATACAGCTGGGACGCATAGTAGCGTCAGACCTGTTAAAACGTAAGTGAACGGGCATACTTCAAGTGCAAAGTTAGTCCACTAAACAAGCTTTTTTTCCACAAAGACCACCTGATATCGTAAGGATAAATGTCAGAGAACATATAGAAAATGACATGTAAACGTGTTGTCTTACCTTACCAGTGTGCTGCCATGTTTGTTTACCATCTACCTCTGCTTTCCAAAGCGCGGCCGAAATATCGTGAGAACAAGCAGCGATCTCATACCGTGCCTGAAATCTCTGACGCTACTATGCGCTCCGGCTGTATCTAGGCTAACGGCTAACATGCTAACTATTATTTTTATGTCACTAGTCACTTAAAACAAATTCAGGACTATAGGAGACAGGTTGAAATAAACCAAAATTTCCCTTTAAGTAGCTGTCCATTATTCAGTCACTGTACAGCAGGAAACAGCACTTCAAAATAAAAGTTTGTCCTAAAATTCACTGTACTTCAAAATAAAGTGTGTTTTTTACAAACCCGACACATTCACGAGTCACTTGCGGTCCATTAAGAATAGACCAGAGACCCACTTTTGGATCGCGACCGATCGGCTGGGAACCACTGATCCAAAGTGCATGGCGCATATGCAATTACTGCACGTCCAGCTCCACTAATACCAGTTAAACAGTGCATAATCTGGGGGCAAAGGCTGCACTGCTATTTCCATGGTGGATTGGGCAAATTGGAGTAATGCAGTAAGAGCAGTAATGTTACTGCTTATCTGCCATACATGCCACTGTCTCAGTTAACCCAGTAAATTTCCACTAACCCCGCCTCTCCACCACACCTACCTGCCAGCCTATCACCTGTCCACGCATCTCCCACTCCTGCTGGTCCACCACGCCCATCCCATCAAGCTAATTCCCCTCACCTGTGGATCATTACCTCCTGCCACTACAAAGACTCCTGCTTCAGACTCCCCTTTCCAGATTGTTCTTTGTCATACTCACGCAAGACTTTCCAGCATTTATTCCTAGACTGCTTCCTGTTGCCAACCTCACCTGTCTCTGACTCTCCTGCTTCGTCTGCCCCCTGGTAAACCACTCAGCTTTCTGTCTCCTACCAAGAACTCCCCTTACATGTTCCTGGTTTATGTTCGCTCGTTGCCTGTGGCTGTTTGGAGAGACCATCACCCAGCTCTCCATAGTGAGTTTACCTGTTCTGCTGCCTGTGATTTCCTGTGCTGTGGATTACGTCGCCACGTGGCTGCACATTCTGCTGTTCTGTGTGCGTTGCAGGATTGACTCATCGTAGTTGTCAAGACCCTTGCTGCTTACAGCCAGCTCCACACAGGTGTGTTGGCTTCTCCTGTGTGTACTCCTGGTTCCTCACTCCCTATTCATCTGACATCAACTTCTGCCTACTCCCTCATGATACTGTTGCACACATTTGAACTGACTATCACTGACTCACCAGCTCTTTGCTTCAGTGTGCCACACCAAACACTTTGAACTGAACCTGTGTCTTGGAAGATTCTCAGCCAACACACTGACTCTCACTGTTTTTTCACCTGCCTGCTCACTCTGTGTTTGACCAGTGGTTTCACTAAAGACTATTGCAAACTGGCCATTGGTCTTTGGTGCTGTTATTGGGTTCAGACCACACCTGTGACCTTGACAGAGAAAATAGAGCTAAACTTTGAAAAGAGCACGGATAACAGCTTCACTTCCCTGTCGGAAAGGGCTATCTGACAGCAGTGTAAAGCTGTGAAAATATTCTAAATATAGCATACACTTAAACTGATATTGATTTTTCTAGGTGGCTAAAATACATTTTTACTGCTGACCCTTGTTCACAGCAGTACACTGCTTTGCTTCCATGCTGTTACTCCTACCTGTTTCTCCAAACTGGGGGCGTGCTAAACACCATCTGCTGTAGGTAACACACTGACTATGGATAAGTACCTCATACAATCCCACTTTAAAAAATCTGAACTATCTCTTTAAACACCTCAAGAGAACTCGTATGGTAAATTGAAGAGGCCTGGTGAAGCACAGTGTTTATAACGTGAAGCATACTGTGCATACCACTACAACTTCACACCAGTAACAGTAGCATCAAACCTTCAGATCTTGTACTGTTCACATACAAGCCATCGCCAAGGCTGCGTGTCACAATGAACAGCTGTGAGCACAACAAGAAGAAGTGTGTTCTCTATTGTGTGATTGGTGCAGGAGAGTAAGACACTGCTTGTTTGCTGGAGAGATAAAAGAAACAAAGCATTCTGCTGCAAACTGTACAAATGAAAAGACACTTCTTGTTTTCCCAGACCTGCACTCTCTCTGTATTTAAATGGACTGGTTGCAGTTTCCTGCTCAAAGCTTTCTGTAACCGTTTGCAGCTACTCCCTGTTTTATATTTGCCACTCCTCACTCTCTCTGTGCTCACACAGAGAAAATCCACTCCGGTTTAATATTTTATTCCCACTCAGTGTGTTAACAATGTGCTGAAAGCCAACCTTCAGTTACAGGAGCAGTATCTTTGAGTGAGAGATAATAATTCTCCAACTTTCTAAAGGTGCCAATCAGAAAGGATTCATAGACTGCAGGGCAATTAGGATGTTATTGTCTTCTTTTTCTTTGAAAACTCACCGCTGGCCCTTAATTTGGTGACTTGAAAGATAGAAGTTGAGACTTTGTTTGGAGAGAAAATGAGGATTGGCATCTTAAAGGTTGAGACATTCAAGTTCAACTCTATATA